ATGGCTTTTATCTTAACTGGAAGCAAATTTTTAATAATTGAAAATTGCAGATAAATGTTAAGGGGATCAAGTCTCTTTAGTTTGTTGATATGAAATTATTATCAGATAGACACTCAAAAATCTCAATTAAGATACCTGCATGCACACAGACACACATGCACATACACAGCAATAAAATTATTTAAACCTAATAGATCAACCTTAGAAAAACAAAAGTAAATTTGAATTAACTTGAAACAATAATAAAGAAAATAAATTTATTATTCATGGGTGAAGCACCTGGAAAGAGGAGACAATATAGCATAGTGGCTAAGACACTTGCCTGCTAACTAGACGGCTGGAGGTTCAAACTCACCAGCCACTCCTCGGAAGGAAGGTTGGGCAATCCTACTTCCGTAGTGATACTGCCTTGGAAACCCAAGGAAGGGTCGCTATGAGTCGGGCCAACTAGACGGCACATAACAACAACAACAACATATGATAATAAAATATCACAATTATATCTAAATGGAGGATTGCAGCAATTTAAACAGAGCTTTAAAATTGACCAAGTATTTGCATGTTTATTGAGTCTCACAGTAGCTGTGGCAATTTGGGAAGGCCAAGTATTGCTAGTAATCTCAGGTTATTGATAAGAAAGTAGGCTCAGAGAAATTTAGTGAAGATAACCTATGTAGAAAGTAGCAAACCTGAGACTCAAACTTCATGTCATCTGACCCTACATCTGGTACTAGTTTCACAATATCATGCTATTTTTCTACTTATAATACTGGACAGGGGAGTATTATGGCTAAATATAGTATATTAGCTATAGACCATGATGTAGAATCATGATACAGTCAAAACTCAAATTGTCAGTACATCTATCTCATTGACTATTATAGACCACATGAAATGTTTTTATAAATGTAATTATTTAATGTGCTTCAAGAGAATTGAAAATCAAAGTAAACTATAAATACAAATACTTTTAAAAATAAAACTATTTTCATATTAATATAAAATATTTTAAAAAATTCTGTTGAGATTTTGGTGAAAGTTTATACAGCAAATCATATGCCCACTGAACAATTTCTATACATACAGTTCAGTGACATTGCTTACATTTTCCACCTTGTGTCAACATTTTCATTTTTTCCATTCTGGTTGTTCTGCTTCTGTTAATCCAGATTCCCTGGCCACCCCATCTCCTTCTCATTTTTGCTTTATGGTAAATGTTGACCTTTCTTTTTTTTTTTGAGAAGCACGGTACTCATGGGTGCAATTGTTTATTTAATGAACCAATCAGTTCTTTAGCTGAAGGGGGACCTCTGGAATAATATTAAGTATTAAAAAAGTACTTGCCTATGTTTGTTTCATCAAATAAATAACTTTTTTTCCTCTAATAAAGTATAAACTGTAGCCTTTGCCATTTATAATTTCAATAGGAAATAACAAATAAACCGAGCAACTCCTATGAGATGTTTTAATGAAATACGATTTTATCAATTGACCCAGATTCTTATGCACTTGTCTCTAAAGACAGCATGGAAACAAGAGATTAGTAACTTTTACTGGCCAGAATCAAAGATGACATCATGTGATCATCACAAGGGCCATTCCACTCCTTGTTTTCAAATATTAAACCAGCAGAAGAGATGGCTATCCTTACTTCAAGTGAAAAGGAAGAACAAGCCACGGCTCAGAGGGGAACATCTAACATCATTGGCAGAGAAAAGAAGACAGGATTTATTTTACTAGATAAGAGATGAGGGCTGTTTTGTACTAGGGCAAAGATGTTTCCTTATACAACCTTACCATGTGGATTTAATTAGTAAAATCTTTCATATAGAGTAATGATGCAGTCTGTCTCAACTCTTGTCATTTTGATTCTCTGTAAAGGAATATGGCACTTAAGACATGAAGGGCACTGAATTAGAGACCTTCCATATGCATTTCTTTTTTTTTTTTCTTACAACTTCCAGAAAAATAGAATCACTTGTGACAAAGTACACAAATGATTAGTCGCAGAATTATAGAGCTGACAGAAATTTTACAGTTCAGTCTAATTTACTCAACGTATTGCTTGAGAAATTGATGCCCAGAGAAGTGATTTGCCCATTTCCAGAATTTGAAACCAATACATAAAATTGGTGTTTCAAATAGGGCAGAAGAATGAGAACTGAGCTTATGAAAATGAAGAGAATGTTTATGGAAAATTTACAGAATAGGTTGGTCTATTTCTGTCAACTACAAAGATTGTTTACAAAAGGAAACTGAAAATAAAATGGTCTATTTCTTGCCAGCTTTTCTTGGGAAGTATAGTAATATAGTGACTATTGCCCTAAAAGGAAAGTAAGAGACTTGGTTTCCATTCAGATTCTTTGATGATTTATTAGATATTCATAGGCTAAGTCATTGACTTCTGTGATTTTTTAAAATGCTTGTTTCTCAGCAAGATAAAAGATTATGTTTGTTATCATGACTTCATGGAAACATTGGACGAATTAATAAGGTATTATTTTTCAAGTTCTTGGAACACATGGTTCTACTATTTGCAAACAAAATAGATAAATGATTAAGTTAAGGCTCTTAGTAGTCTTTTTATAATTTTTTAAAAAATCATTAGCAGTTGCAAGTAATTATTAGATTTTTTAAATTTTATTCTTTCAAAAATCAAATCAGCAGAAGAGATAACTAATACTGTTTTCACATGAAAATGAAGAACAAGTCAGGGCACTTTCCATCCTACTTTATTCTTTTAGGCATATCTTAATATTGTTGTTGTTGTTATGTGCCGTCGAGTCGGCCCCGACTCATAGCGACCCCTCCTTGGGTTTCCGAGGCAGTATCACTACGGAAGTAGGATTGCCCAACCTTCCTTCCGAGGAGTGGCTGGTGGGTATAGTACACATAGTACACTAAAAATTATTATACCATTTTCCTGTTGATATTTACAGTTTTTCCTCCTCAGAGAAAATTCATACTCCAGCTATACAAGGTATATTCTAATTAAACTTACTAAATAAAGAACAATGTCTATTTTAAAGTAAAAGTTTAGAATTGTTATATGGTTGTAGGTAATCAAAGGAAGGGGCAGGTTTTACTAAATGTGTTCTAGATTCAGGGTAGCAAGGATATACTTATTTATCTGTAATGTAATATTCAGAGAAAAACGTATTGATATATTCTAGTGCTAAGTGATATAAAAGGTCATTGATGAACTTTGTGCAACATAGTATTTGATTTCCTAAATAGAACATGTCCCATTATCTATGATGATGGTGTTACAGATAAAATAGATGGATTTTAGTTGTTACTATGTTTTAAAAATACTGTTATGAAAATTGTAGTTTAATGTATTTCTGGTTAGAATAGTTTGAGGTTTATTTGTAACGGAAAGTTTTCAAATGTCTTTTTGTGAGATTAATGGAAGTAGATGTCCAGTGCTCCCTCTCCTGGTTTTGTCGTATTGATGAACTTTTCTTTCACCCCAATATTGTTGTAATAGCTGAGAAGACAAGTTTGAAGAACCAAATAAGATACTCTGGTATGATAGTCTATTTCTGACTTGAGTATTCCAGATCTATTTATAATGTTAAAGAAACCTGTCTGTCCTTGGTGAAGGTTCTATATGTCATCAAATAAGGTGAACTCCATGGAAAAACAAATATAATAGATACAATAAAACCAACTTTATGCTTTTAAATAGCTTATTTTAGTACATTTTATAATATGAAGAGTGATCATACAGCTCGTTAGCTCATTCTTTGTTCTGTTTTATTTTCTAGTAAGGCTTATTTGTTGTTGTTGATGCTCTTAGCAATGCCCTAGGTTCCTTAGAGACAATGACACAATCTTAATTATTTTTAGTGCTCAAACATTTGAAAGTTCAATATTGGGATAAACAGTTCCAGTACAATCACTTGATATTATAAAGAATGAGATTTTTAGAAATTACTTTGAACTGAAAAATGTCCATGTTAGTCTGTTAGAGTCTGGAGTTTTGTTTTTGTTGGCTTTGTTTTTCCAAAGACTTTAACTTTCTCCTAATATTAATATCTGAAAAATAAAGCAATTACTTTTCACCAAATAAATGATCTCTTTTTTTTTTTTTTTGGTTTTCAGGTATCTTTTAAAAGTCTCCATGGAACCTTAAATTTTGGATATCGTTACTCTCACTGCAGTAAGAACTTCATGATTTTTATAATAAACGTCTAAAATACCCTAGTCTGTAAGCAAGTAAAAAGCAAGTTTTCTACATGAAGTATTAAAACTTTTTTTTAAATCAATGACATCTATTATTTGTAATTCTAAAACTTCTTGGTAAATCATATCTATTTCAAATCATTTTCCTTCAGCTAATTTTTAAACCATTTTTTTGCAAAATTATAAAAATATATTACAAAATTGAAGAAATTGGGGATTTTTTCCCCCTACTTAATTGATTTTCGAGAAATTACACCACAAACCAAAATGGGGCAATATTTAAAAAGCTGCAGCCAGAAATTTCACTCTAATGACATATGGCTTTACTACATTTGCAGTAAGTGGTGCCACCTTTTGAACTTTCAGATTTCACATATTCTGAACTTTGTTTTAAATAGGAACTGTAACGTTATATTAACATCTTTTCTATATCAATTATACATTTCCCCTCCAGCTGATCTGAGTGGTGGCTTGACATACAATTTTTTTTTTAACCTTCCTTTATTCTTCAAATTTATTTTCTAACTCCCTTTTAAGTATGGAGTCCATCAACCCTTCTATTGAGATTGATAACTAAAGAGACACACATTTGGAGGTATTGTTTTTTTGGCAAACTGCATTTGCAGGATGTTTATTACACGAGTGAACAGGGCAACAATTCCAAGTTTGTACACATAAACGAAAGAGGAAACGAGAGTTGGGTAAATCCTGTTCCAGGTTTTCAGGCAGCCCGTGTGATTGACACATGATATCACTGGAGGCGTGTCCAGGAGTCGAGGTGGAGGTGGAGGCGAGGAGCTGAAATTCTGCGGAGTCGGAGTGGGATCGCTCTGTAAGGCACGCAGTGGTTTGCACAGTGATAGCAGCAGACAGAGCTCCCAGCCCTGGATAAGGAACAGCTACAGTCGCTGTAAAAGTGCCTGAAAAGCAATTTCCAATCTTTGCATTAGGTAAGAACTCTTTCCTTCCTTTCCTTCCGTAGACATTTTAGGAAAGATTAGGCGAGAAATGTTTGCATTTGCAAAGAACCGAACATTTCTTTGAACTCGCTTTAGATCTGAGATTACTGGTTGCATTTCAAAACACCAGCAGCACTCCCACTGCTAAGACTAATGCTCTTAAAGTAAATGTGTGTGTGGTTGGGGGGGTGGGGGCAGGATCCCTTTCACCTTTTTTGATTATCCGAACAGTAACAAGTTTAAAGTTTGAAACGATCGGAGGTGTGAAAAACAGGGTGGCTTATGCCGACGAGAGCCTAGCACTCAGTTTGTGGACCAAAAGCCTATTTGTTTAGGCTTTGTTGGTGACCGAATACCGAGAGAAGTAATTGTTTAAAACCTGAATTTCCCGTCTCTGTGTATTGATTTCCAATGCGCAGAGGCTTTGCTTGAACGTTGTTTGAACTAGGTATTCCGAGGGGCAAAAGCACTTCGGCAAAAACGTGCAAGACTGCATGTTACTTTGGTTCGCTGCTGACACGCCGACTGTGCGCCGGCCTGTCAATCACTGGGAGCAGCAACAGGCAGCACATGGCAAAGGGCTGCGGGAGGCGGGCGAGCAGACCAGTGACCCGCCCCGCTACACTCTGCCGCGGCGGTGGTGCACGCTACGCGACCAAGTGCCTGGAAAGAAGGGAAAATTAATTTTTTTTTTTTTTTTTTAAATCTCTAATCGTCTGTAGCAGGCGTTTCGGTCGTGGAACCGGTGGGTTGGAGGACTGGGAGCAACAGCTACCCCGGCGAGGCTGACCTGCCAGAACCAGAGATCCTGGGCGCGCTGTGCCTCCAATTGCCCAGTGTGCGGGATCGGGAAAGTTCCTCGGCCTGTGCGGGGACAAGGAACCACGCCTCGCCTCTTCCCCTGAAGAGGACCCTCAAACCTTGCTCCCTTCACCCCCCCCCCCCCAAAAAAAAGCGGGTAAAAAAAATATCCCACCCCCTGGGCCGCAGGGGCCTCGGTCTCCAGAGCCCCGGCGGGACCTGCGCAGCTCGGTGAGCCCCTCTCGTGGACGCCGGTTCGAGCCCCGTCTCGGGCGCCTCGGAGTTTTGAACGTCCGTGCTGCGGATTTTCACTCGTCAGGAGTCCGCCACACTTTCCTTCCCTGCTAGGAAAGGTCGGAGCTCGAAAAGTACTCTCGTCCGAACACCCCGTGCCAGGCAGCTGGCCCGTCACACACTGTTATCTCCGCCGCTCCCCTGATCGCTTTTCTGAGAAATTCAGAAAGCATTCCAAGAGGCTTTTTTTTTTTTTTTTTCTACTTTTTTTTCCATCTGGTTCTTGGAGGGGGCTGCAGGAGAAAAAGCCTCAGAGGTGGATGTTACTGAGCCGCGAGGCAAACACGAGCTGTGAGAGGTCTGCGCCGGGCCGCGCAGAGTCGCAGGAGGATTGTCCCCCGCAGCCGGAAGGGGGCCGCGGGGAGCGCTCCTGCCGGGCAGCGGCGGGGGCGGGGGAGGCCGCGGGCTGACTCGCCGCAGCTCCAGCGATGCCTGCTTGTGCTCCCCGCCGCGGTTGATGCGGCGTGTGCATGCTGCCACGCGCACCGGGACTTGGGCCGGGTTGCACCGCTTGGCCCCCAGCTACCGTTTCGGCCTAGGTGAGTGTCCTGCGGCAGTCTTCGGCCCGCGGGGGCGGGAAGCGCGCGGGCGGGGTTTGCTTGGCGCTGCAGGTGCGGAATCCGGGGAGCAGTAGCCGGCAGGGCCCTCCGGGAATGGTTGGGGGAGCGGGGACTGCGCCCGCGCGTAACCTGGCTGCTCCAGCCATCTCCTTACCCCTTTGGGATAGGGTGCTTGTGGCGGGATAACCGGGTGGGCGACGTCCCGTAGCTCCATTTCTTGAGGCGGGAGTACGGCGAGGCAGGGTCTCCCAGTCCTCAGTTGCCCAGAGTGGTGGCGCTGTGGCCCGGGTTGTCCTCTCGGAGGAACCCACCGCCCGAAAAATGGATTTTAGTCGGTTTTCAAGGTATTCCTGGAGGGCCCTACAGAGCTTCTAGGTTTGTGCCAACATCAGGCTTCCTGCGAAGGAGTTTCCCCTCAGATGGGAGCATCAGGAAAGGGGTGTGAGTGAGTGTGTGTGAATGTATAAGTGTGTACGCGCGCACCCCTGGATCTCACTGATAAACCCCTCGACAGAATTAGTCTGCGCCCAAGCCAGCTTCAATTTTATTCTTGTGTTGAGAGCAGTGGAAAGGCGAGGGAGGAGAGAGGGCACTGCCACTTTAAAAATGGGGAAGTCCGCCCTCCTGAGGTAATGGTAACCTCAGCCTCCTCCCCTCCTCCTGCAAGAGAGAGAGAAAGAGAGAGAGGGAAAGAACTTGTTTTCATTCATAACTTTTTCCTTTTCCTTCCTCTCCGTCAGCTATTTATTCACCGCTTCTCTCAGCTCGGATTGCAGAGGGCGCAGCTCCACCGTCGTAACTTGCAAGGTGGCGACACATCTCTGCTGCCCCTCTCTCTGGCATATTTCTTCCTGGCCCTTCGTGAATCAAACTTTTTCTTTAAGGTTTTCTTTAAAGACATGTTTATTTATCATCATACATACGGTGGGCTGGCTTTTGGCGCCTGAGTTAACTCTGAAGGCGCTTCGTAATTTGTTTAAAAAAACAAAACAAAGCAAAAAAACCTTGGTGGGATACCCAAGACAATTGGAAATCTACGATGATCCTTAGGATGTGATGGGATTGTCCGAAAAGGTATTCTTCTTCGATCCGTGTTTTCTTCTTCGGGAAAACAGTTGAGAGCGTGTGAGAATGCTTGGTGTAATAGACCGAGGACTGTCACTGCTTGAAAATGGACTTTTCTTCAGACCAGAGATGGCTAATTTTCTTCTTCTTCTTTTTTTTTTTTTTTTTCCTTACCTGGTAATTTACCAGCCACCATGACCTTTGTTACAGCGATCTTTTAAAACGCCACTTGAAGTTGTGCCTGGTGTTTTTATTGACACTGTTTACGTCCTTCTCGGTTTTTCCTTTCGTGTGAACCTAATTTAGTACTTTTTAGATACCCTTTGCTTTCAAAGCACTAGGTTAAAAAGTTCTCTGTGAGGAGGAGTACTTTGGTGTAGGAGTAATCATTAAATATTTTTAAAAATCCTTAAGGATCCAGAACTAAGATCCACAGGTTGTGAATGTGTTTCTCCTCAGGTACAGAGAAGGTGGAGTCAAGTAGAAACTTAAGCTCTGCTTTGTGAAAGTGAGGGGAGCTGCAAGAAGTTAACATTAAATCGTAGTCTAGGGGTAGTTCCTTTAGTTAATATGGGAAATGGACTTCTTTCAGTTCAACTCCTTAATTCTGTGATTTTGGGCTGGAAGTGATAGGTGGGGAATAAGCATTTTTTGTTTCCATTCTTGAATTGGGTTGACTCTGCAGACTTTAGGAATTTATGTGAAAAGTATTCTGGATTACCATTGACTGAAAAAGGACATGTTTGTATGTTTTGGTAGTTTGTATTATTAAGAGTACATTATAAATTACAGCTAATTTACTATTGATACAGAAACATAGATGCCTATTTTTACCAGGATACTAGTGTGCTCATTTTGTTACAAGACACACATTGATTCAGAGTTGGCAGTGCTTTTGAAAATGGTCTGTCATGTAAATGTGGTGTTTTAAAGGAGAGAAAATACAGATAATTATAAAAGGGTCAGGATTTCCTCATACTACTTTAAAGGCTTAATACTTATTTGTACATAAAAGTTATCTTGTTATGTGATGGTAAGCCCTTATTTAATCTTTTAAAAATGCTTTTGTGAATTCAAATGTGAATATGCTTTAACATTTAGAGAACTGTACTTTGAGTTTTTTGTGTATGTGTTCTATTCCTCATATGTTCATTTTTTGTGTCTCATAGGTTAATAATGAGTTTAGCTTTGCAATCCTAATTTCTACTGAAAATGACCTTTCACTTTGAGATTCCATTTTAGTTTGAATCTCTTTTAGTCTTACTGGTAGATCTTATGGTAGATTGATTTATTTCTTTTAGAAAATGCATGAAGTATGCCTTGATTAATTTTCTCATGGTTAATATAATGCTTATGATAGCAAACAAATGACAAAAAGGCAACAGCACCAGAGCCATTCTTAATTTTTTTTAATTGGATTTTTTTTGTGTGTGTGGAAACCAGTAATGAACTGATACTAAACTTTCTTTGATGAGAGCTATTTTAGTGCTTATATTCATTATTCCCTTTGAAGATATACTCCATTTTAAGAATTTCACAAACAGGAAAGCATTGCTTCCTCTTCATGGTTCTTTTTTAAAATTAGAAAAACATCGGATTTTTATGGCATAAGGTCTCATTTTCTATGACATGGTCCCTAGCCTCTCTTGGACTTGGACTCTGGCCAGGACCCTAGCATCATTATAATCCCTCTGGTGAAGGAGATCATTATCAGGTGGTTTAGGCAATTTGTGACTTGACAGGATTCCTCCCCCCCCCCCAAAAAAAATGCTTCCTGTCATTTATTTTCTTTCTTACTTGTTTCATCTTTGATTTCGTTTTAGGATTTCAGATGCATGCCAGGTTCCTACTGATTGCCAGAATTCAAGATCACTACACATGGATCCCCAAAATCAACATGGCAGTGGCAGTTCATTAGTTGTGATCCAGCAGCCTTCTTTGGATAGCCGTCAGAGATTAGACTATGAGAGAGAGATTCAGCCTGCTGCAATCTTGTCCTTAGACCAGATCAAGGCCATCAGAGGTAGCAATGAATACACAGAAGGGCCTTCAGTGGTGAAAAGACCTGCTCCTCGAACAGCACCAAGACAAGAAAAGCATGAAAGGACTCATGAAATTATACCAATTAATGTGAATAATAACTATGAACATAGACCTACAAGCCACCTGGGACATGCAGGACTCACAAATAATGCCAGGGGCCCCATTTTGAGCAGATCAACCAGCACTGGAAGTGCAGCCAGTTCTGGGAGCAATAGCAGTGCCTCTTCTGAGCAGGGACTGTTAGGAAGGTCACCACCAACCAGACCAGGCCCTGGTCATAGATCTGAAAGGGCAATCCGGACACAACCCAAGCAACTGATAGTGGATGACTTGAAGGGTTCCTTAAAAGAGGACGTGACACAGCACAAGTTCATTTGTGAACAGTGTGGGAAATGCAAGTGTGGAGAATGCACAGCTCCCAGGACCCTGCCATCCTGTTTGGCCTGCAATCACCAGTGCCTTTGCTCTGCTGAGAGCATGGTGGAATATGGAACCTGCATGTGCTTAGTCAAGGGCATTTTCTACCACTGCTCCAATGACGATGAAGGGGATTCTTATTCAGATAATCCTTGCTCCTGTTCACAGTCACACTGCTGCTCTAGGTACCTGTGTATGGGAGCCATGTCTCTATTTTTACCTTGCTTACTGTGTTATCCTCCTGCTAAGGGATGCCTAAAGCTGTGCAGGGGGTGTTATGACTGGATCCATCGTCCAGGGTGCAGATGTAAGAACTCCAACACTGTCTATTGTAAGCTGGAGAGCTGCCCCTCTCGGGGTCAGGGTAAACCATCATGATTTTTGGAGGTGGTTGAACCTCCTGAACATCTAGCTTTCAAATTTTGGCTGTTAAAAAAGACCCTATTAGATACTGTTTTTATTTTCTTTAGAGTTTTCCTGTTTGCCATCTTCTTTTCCCCTGTTCTCAAGGGTTGACTCACAGATTTTATTCTTCTCTCATGGATGCTCTTCAGTAAAAGTGGACTGTGAAACTGCTCCCACTTACTACAAGAGTCTCTGCCATCCACTTGAGAGGGTGTTGAGAGCCAGTGGGCTTTTGTGTAGCCTTTTTGTTCTGCAAGCAACTTTCCAAAGTTGTACACATGAACATACCCACACACATATCCAGACTACAATGATTTTTAAGTTGTTTTTGGTTGAGTACTGTGGGAGCAGGGAAATTAGTTTTTAAAGAAGCAACCATTTAATTGCTTAAATAAGCTATGTATTAAATCTGTCTCCAGTTAGGGCTATCTTCATAGCATTGGTAGCACGAGGGATATATTTTTATTATAACATCAAGAATTTCCATTAACCACTGCCCTTCTTGCCCCTCAGATGCTCTTTCCCTTCAGTTTTGGCATTATCTTTTTCTAGTGATGCCAATTTTTTTTTTCTGGTTCTTTTGTGTAATTGTAGATTCACTTTACAATATAAGTCTTCACATTGGAGATATATTGGTTGTATCTTGCTTATTCTTACTCTAGCTTTCATGTTTGTGAAGGATTCAGCTCCCTTCCTTCCAAACCCCACACTCTCCACCAAATTTCTTCCGTCACTGAGGGCACTTGGATAACTGAAATTGGTATTTATAGCTGATAAATTTATAGATGTCACAGAACTATGCTGCCTAAAGTGATCTTGGCTCCTTACTGGTCTTTTTGGCCCCTTCGTTAGTTAGCAACTTTGTAATTCTAATCTTTTCTGTGTTTTCATTGCCTTAACCACAAATTGTGGTGCTTTTTGTATATTTTATGTATAAATCACAAAGTTGAATTCTGACTATTTTTAAGACAAAAGTCTGTTAAACTTTTTTATTGTAAAGAATATTTATTATGCGAATCTATTATTTTATGATATTTATTGCAAAAGACTGTTGTTGAAATGTACTCATGTCTGAATATAACAAAATATCAATACTTAACGGAAAATAAGGTGACACGAAGAAAGTACATATGTTAACTATAATGCAGAAAATATATTAATTAATGAAACTGTCTCTTGATTTCTTCATTTATTGCCCCGTACTATTATGATGATTTTTGTCATTTGCTTTGACTCTTCATTAACACTCATTTTAGTTCTTTAAAATACTGAATCTCAACACAGTTGAGCTCAAATTATGACCTAGGTGTTTCCAGGGAAAGTGCATTATCTAAAATATCGTAATCCAAATCCTACTTAAAATATTTTTGAAACAAATGCCTAAGTGAATTACTTTATAAAGAGAAAAATTTTGGTAATTATTATTAACATATACTCCCTATTTTGGCTAATTTGTAAGCACAAGTTTTTGTATATGTCATAGTTTCTTGAAATGGTGGCATATCTATACGTTTTTGAAAATATTTATCTTAACTCTCTTGGGCAAGTTAGAAATTAGCTTCTATCAGCAAGACTTAAAGAACTAGTTCTTTAGACATGCTAAGAGTCTCTGGCACTGTCACGTTAATAAAACATTTTGGAAGTTAGTGTGTGCCAAGGGAATAGTTCACATTATCAGAGAAATGTTTTAAAAACATTCCTGTTCCTACCTTTTCATTTCCTTTAATGAGTCTTTAATGTGGCCTGATCAAATTACACTTCTTCATGTCCTTTGGAATAAGAAATCTAAGGGCCTGAAACTTTATATGGAAAAGGTAAATATTTTGAAATCTTGTTTTTTAGCCTGGTGAAACAGCTACATAGCCAGAATCCTTGGATCTGATAAAGTTTTTGTTTACGTGAGTCCTCAGACTATAGAATATTTGAATCTGATAAAATGTTGTTCTATGAACCCATAGACTCAGCTTTGTTAACTCCCCCTGACTAGATAAGTCAAACTTGAATACATTATCAACATTGGAGAATAAGATGTTGGCATAATTGCAACCCAAGATTGAGGCTATCACAACTAAAATCTGACCCAGCTTTTTGTTTTGATCATTACTCTTAGGTGGTTTGGCTCCTGGTTTATGAGTATTTGTTCTTTGTAAATAGGCTTTGACTCTGTTTTTTATCAGACAGGGTGTAAGTGGTAGAAACTTGTTCTAATTCTTCTTCATCAAGTCATTAAACCTATTTGTTGGCATTGTGACATTTGGTATAAGCAAATGTTTTCTGTATTGTTTGCAAGCAGGATGATTCAAAAAATATAGCTATAGTTTGAATGCTGCTTCATAATCCATAGTATTTCAAATTCTCAACTTGGGTTTTTGCCTCCTGTACTCAAGTTATGTGATGTTACCACTAGTCCTTTAATATCTAGAGTATTTCGTTGAAATCTGGCCCCTTTAATGAAGTGTATAAACACAGTCTCCCTCAAAATACTGTGTGGTTTTTTCTGTTATTATTCAGACCTTTAGTATAATTAGGAGTTGGTTTAAGAGCTGTAGTTGTAATAACTAGACTTAGAAGCTATAGCTTTTACTGAAATAAATTTATAACTTTTATGAGGATGAGGTATGCTGTGGAGTTTCAACTTCTGGCCATATGCTGAATACATTAAAACTACAATATTAAGGTGGTGGTCTGCTGTTCCTCGGGCTTTATATGTACTCTGGCATAATGTCAGGTTCATATTTAGAAACAGCAATAGGTTACAGGTTCAGATTTCTAACAGAGGGTTGTCAGGTGGCAAAGCATAAACACTTTGATTCAAAATTTCCTCCTCTGTGATGGTTTAAATCTAAGAGGAAAAAAATATTAGCGTGTGTCCTCGTAAGTGCTTATGAGTCCTAGGCTTTTGAACCAATATTTTAAAGTGCTAAGAGAATTTAAGAGTCAGCAAAGCTGAACTTTCTTACAATGCCTTTGCCATTCATTTGGTACTGCCTAATGAAAAACAAAGGAGCCCTCATGGTGCAGTGGTTAGGTACCAGCTGCTAACTGAAAGGTCAGTGGTTCAAACTCACCAGCTGCTCTGTGAGGATGGGGGTGGAGGGCTTGTGGCAGTGGAAAACCCTATGGGGCAGCTCTACCCTGACTTACAGGGTTCCTATGAGTGGGAGTCGATTGAACAGCAATGCGTGTTTTTTATTTTTAATAAGGAAAACAACATACCAAATAGATGGGCTAACCATTCGTTTTTATTCCACACTTTTCTTCCCCAACTAGTACAGCTTGACAGTATGAATGTTTTTGTTCCTTTCCAACACATTTTTGACTATCCCTTTTTTCTTTTTTTTCCAAAGAAGTCTTATGTATTTATTTAATTTATTGGTAAGACCGATACAGAATTTCAGTTATTGAGCAGTTTCCTGTCAACAGGCATTATAAAACGTAATCTCACAGGAAAAAGAAACCTGAAAAAGTAGACATATGTTTATATGCAGGCCTGAAGTGAATATTTAAGTATAAACCAAAACCAAAATCCAGTGCCTTGGAGCTGATTCTGAATCATAGCAACCTTATAGGACAGAGTAGAACTGCCTCATAGGGTTTCCAGGGCTGTAAACACAGAAGCAGACTGCCTCATCTTTCTAGAGAGCGACTGTTGTTGTTGTTGTTGTTGTTATGTGCCGTCGAGTCAAACCCGACTCATAACGACCCCTCCTTGGGTTTCCGAGGCAGTATCACTACGGAAGTAGGATTGCCCAACCTTCCTTCCGAGGAGTGGCTGGTGGGTTCAAATAGCCGATCTTTTGGTTAGCAGCCGAATGCCTAACCACTGTGCCACCAGAGCGCCTTTAACTATAATGGGTTATAATTTTCATATGGTTTTCAAAATCCAAACCATGGAAGATTCCAGTTGTTGCTAAAAATAACAATAGAAATAAAAACTGGTGGCCTTTAAAGTAAAAGGAAATGAATTAAAAACATTGTTTTTTACCCTAAAATGGATATTTGAACCCAACGCATAGGATTATTTTCCAGATGATTGATTTGTTCAAAAATGTTTACTTTAAGCTTTAAACCATTTTTTTTTTTTTTTTTACTAATTGTATAATTGTTATTTCCATTTTTTCACTGATTAGATACAAACACAATAGCCATCTACTTTACTGACAGCTTTTGGTTCTCCAGGTCTCTCAGATTATTAGCAAGCCACTTTGCTTATTTATTGAACACCTACTAAGTGCATTCTTGTATATGAAGTACAATTCTAGAGCTGACAATAAAATCTTAGTGTTTCTCAACCTGTATGAAAATAATTATATAGGTAACTAGTTAAAAAGTAAAAAATCCAGAAGTCTGTGTCAGAGCTCAAACCTATGATATCAAAACAATCTCCAGGTATTCTGTGTTTAAAAAGCTTCTTGGGTGATTTTTATCATCAGGCAATTTTGGAATTGATTTAGCTCAGAATCTTTATTTTGAGGATGTAGAAACTAAAGGCCTGGCTTGAGAAGAAAAGTAGCTGTTCATTCATGATCACTAAAATAGAGTCAGAACTCTTTCATTAGAAGACTTTTCTGCATTTCTTAGCAGCCAGCCCAGTTGCTTTGTATGGCACATTAGTCTTTACCATTCCACTCACCTCACCAGGTAGTTTTTCCTTCATAGTTAATATATTTAACCATAATTTAAGAACTAGAATTGTTTTTATGCATATTATTTGCACTTACCTATCAAGATTAGACAATTACTGTAATGATTTTTCATATTTTAATATTAAAAACTGAGCTTATGTGTTTCTTCTGAGCAAGTTTTTATGGCAGTAATAGAACAACTTGATTAAACCAGTTTGTCAAAGGTGATAGTAACTGGGCTCAAGATTTAGGAATTTGTGTGATGGTACTACTCACCATATTTCTGGCTACGTTAGAACTACTATTTTTCATGTTTAAAAAGATTGATGCTGTTTGTCAGATAGTTAGAATCATACTCAAAACTCACTGTCATTGAGTCAATTGCAACTCATAGTGACTCACATTGGGTTTCCAAGGTTGTAAATCTTTACAGAAGTAGACTGCCTCATCGTTCTTCCGCAGAGCAGCCAAATCCCTTAACCACTGCACTGCTGTTGTTGTTATGTGCCGTCGAGTCGGCCCCGACTCATAGCGACCCCTCCTTGGGTTTTCGAGGCAGTATCACTACGGAAGTAGGATTGCCCAACCTTCCTTCCGAGGAGTGGCTGGTGGGTTTGAACCGCCAGCCGTCTGGTTAGCAGGCAAGTGACTTAGCCACTATGCTACCAGAGCTCCACTGCTAGAGCTCCTTAAAGTCATACTAGAACTCATTGCCGTGGAGTCAGATCCGAATGATAGACACCTCTCCTTTCCAAAGCGGTATCACTATGGAAGTAGATTGCCCAATCTTCCTTCTGAGGAGTGGTGGTGGGTTTGAACTTCCAGCCTTCTGGTTACAGTCAAATGCCTTAGGCACTACACCACCAGAGCTTCCGCCTTAGGCACTATGCCACCATAACTCTAATCACAAAAACCATAGAACTGTTTTGAAATGGGTATATAATTTTAGAGCTAGAAAGAATTTTAGAAGTCATCTAATCCAGGCTCTTTATTTTAGAGATGAGGAAGCCAAGTTCAGAGAGGTTAATCCCCTAAAGTCAAGATCTCACACACATACTCACTGCTACTGAGATGGATCCGACTCTATGGACCCCTCCTTGGGTTTCTGAGGTAGTATCTATACGGAAGTAGACTGCCCAATCTTCCTTCCCAGGAGTGGCTGGTGGGTTTGAACCACCAGCCTTCTGGTTGGCAGTCAAATACCTTAGGCACTACACCACCAGAGCTCTTCCAAAGTCAAGATCTAGTTGACAAAGTAAAATGAACTTTATAAAAAACTGCTTGTTACATATGTACATGTGGTAAATGGCTAGCAGGAAAGAGGTTAGTTGGAGAAGGGGTTTGAATGAAAGTTTCAGGTTAATTTATCATTAAAAATTGAACAGATTTGTTAAAACACAGTGGACTAATGATAGTCCAAAGAAGAGAAATAAGTGCCATAAAAAGAGAGCCAGGCAAAATGATCTAAGTAACTTGTAAGAGAACAAAGTGAGTGTTTGAGAAACTGAGTTTTCTGGTTTGGCTAGTAGTGGTTTACAGCCTTAGCTGT